CGGAATTGCCCCCTAGCTGTTGGGGTGGTGCATGTGGGGTGGGTTAATTATATTATATTAAATTATATTTAAAAAAAAAAAACCTGATTTTTGAATTTTCAAACTATAAACCTGATTTTTGAATTGGTGTAAATAAACACCTTATTTATGAATTTTTCCCTTTATTTAAAATGGCTGTTTTTAAGCCCCTGTTTGGACGCCCTTCTTTGAAAAATAAAAATTAACAATTCGACCGTTATACAGTGAGCGGGCCCCACTTTGGCAGCCATATTTGACTGTGTTATCTGCAGCAATTAAAAAATTTGGTGAAAAGAACATAATGCCCCTAATTTGTTATATTCAATTTTCACAAATTGGACAATTTTAACATTTCAAACTAAAAAAAAAAGACGATTGTCATTCATTTTTCAAATATTGTGGCTGAATCACTGTTTACCTTAGTGTTGCAACGTTTATATTTTTCATTAAAATGTGGAATTAATGGCTCCCAAACAGGTTGTAAATCATATTTGTTGCAATTTCCTCAATATGCTATGAAGGTACTGATGGATTTTTATTTTTTCAAAGGTTTGAAGGCACTGTTTGGGATAACTTGGCTCATGATAAAGGTGTTTATGTCTCCGAGCGAGGGTTGGTCAGGTTTGTTTACGTAGTTCCTACTATACTTTTTTGATGTGATTACAGCTTCAAATGTGAAAGAATTTACGGTCTTTGTCGTCTGCTTATGAAGACTCTTCTAACTTCATATCAAAACTTGACATATGCCTCATAAGATGTTCTTAAGAATTTGTTGTGGTTTGTAAGTATAGAGGAGAATGGCTTCAAAATAATATGAAAGGTCACGAGGTTGTTAAAGTGGAAATTCCCAACACAGAACCCGCGCTCGGTTTCAAGTATTTTTATGGTTGCTATGTTTACTCCTTATATAATTAATCTGCAGTTGGAGCAGTAGGAGTTTGAAAATACCATTCAGATAAAAACTTGTCACATTCCCCAAGCTTGAAGCAAAGATGTGAGCTAAAGGGCAATTAATCTCAAGAGACTTTGTGTCCCCTGAAGATATAGAATGACGAGATATGGATAACGAAGATAGTTTGCTCTTAGCCAATGGAAATTATGAAATTCCTTTTTATGAGAAGGAAGAATGGATCAGACAGTTCGAAAAAGGAAATATGAAAAATTCGTAAATGTATTGAACTTGTGTACTTGCCCAGAAAAACTAGCTTTAAATTTCATGTTTATGTAATAAGAACTAGACCTTATGTGTTTTATTAATGCTAACATTTCGACATCTTATGTATCTTGCACACCTTTATTTTCACAATTTGGTTGATGTCATTTGGTTCATGTTACTGCAAAGTTTGTGAATGAGAAACCATAGACAAATTTGATAGCAAATGGAACATGCTCCACTCAAATGTATTGTATTACATCTCAAACAAGTCCTGCCAACAAAATTATTACAGCAAAACACTTCATCAAACCAACACAAAATCAACAAGAAATGATATTTATAAGCCAACAAAAGTTCAAAAGATTACACCACCACTATGTGTTAATGCTTCAGGCGGACTTAATTCATCAGAAATCTCAGATACATTATGATAAGTATAGTTTTTATACTTATTCGAATATCTAAATTATGATATTTTATTTTCTTTTGAATAAAATTCTACCTAATTTATG